GAGAGAGAGAGAGAGAGAGAGAGAGAGAGAGAGAGAGAGAGAGAGAGGGAGAGAGAGAGAGAGAGAGAGAGAGAAAGGGAGAAAAGCGTCGTCATTTTTTAACGCTTTGATAAATGGTTCGATGAATTGCGTAACACAAACATAAGTTGTACAAAAGTTGTGTGAAAGTTGGATAGGATGAAATAAACGTTGATATTCGTTTCGTGGACAGTTGTTTGCCAAATATTTAACGACAATGTGGTGATTTGCTGTATTTCTCTACGTTGGTCATGAATTATGAAATGAAGTGAGTGAATTTTTTCGCTTTTTCATCTAGTACAGTTTCATGCGCACGCAAATGTTCTGCAACGCACACTTTGAGTGAACAAGTGAAAGGGAACGGAAAAACACATACGTACACACATTGTTCTCACTTTTTGATCGTGGTTGCACTTCACTTGGTGTACAATTTTATCGCTTAATATTTAATGGAAAGCGCTGATGAAACTAATTTCAAGAGATGGAAACGTATTTTCAATTTGCGAAAAGAAAAAGTTGTTGACAGTCAATGTGTATGTGTGTGTGTGTGTACTTCGCCTTTACCGCTCCATTGTTCTCGCTCGTAATATTCCAATGGAATAAAAATGAAAATATAAATAAATATTTTATGTTCGTTTATTTCAGTACTTGAGCCAATTCAGTGGGAGTAGCAGGAGCGCAGCGAATGTTTGAACGATATATCGAATGTGGATTTACTGGCAAGTCTATTTGCAATAACAGAAATGGTCGTTAAATTCGAGGTCTTGAGGAACAGAGGATGACGTTCTGAGAAATTGACGAACGTGCACATACACATTCACAGTAAGTGCTCGCTCGCGACATGGATCGTAAAATTATGAATACCGAAACATAAAAACGTATGAACAAGAATTGCAATAGTCAACGAACAGACACGCTCATTTCTCTTCCCAAGAGAGAGGGCCAATATGTTTGTACGCTGTATATCCGCCGAAAATACACTACAATATATATTCACGCTTATTGGACGCCGAATTCAATATATATTCTAGTGTATTTTCGGCATATTCTTCAGCGTGAAACATATTGAAACATATTCAGGCGCCCTCTGATGGCCATGAATGCATTCATTGATTCAATATGTTTCACGCTGAAGAATACACCGAATATACACTAGAATATATATTCAATTCGGCGTCCAATAAGCGCAAGAATATATATTGTAGTGTATTTTTGGCGGATAGACAGTGTAAAAACATATTGGCCGTTTCTCTTGGGTTCTCATTGCACAATATAATCCTTTTTCAAATTAGTTTACATTAAAAGGAATATATGAGAACGTCCAAACAATTGAAACGGCCAAACCAAAAAAAAAAAATAAATAAATCGAACGTGGTAAGCTGGCAGCCATGTGAGAATTTGGAGCACATACATACGCACAGAAAATCAGTGGCCGTTTTGTTTTACATCTTAATTAGTTTTATGTTTCATAGGCTGTGTGAGGATGCATTGTGAAAGTGAACGACGTGTTAAGGATTGGCCAAATTGTACACATGGCAACGCTAGTCAAATGATAAACGTTCTCTCACTCTCTTTTTTCCTCTCGTTCCGCTACACCATGCGGGTAGAGCGTATTTCTTTCTATCGTTCGCTCGCTTTCTCTCCCTCCCTCCGCCCCTCTCTCTCTCTCTCTCTCTCTCTATTTGTATGTTTGTTACTGTTGGTGCGTAAATTTGAACATTCTAGTTTCGCTGGGAGTCTTTTCACTGCTGAAGAGCCAAACTGATGTTTTCTGTCGACACACAATTTCGTTTATTATTTATTCAGATGTTTTAAATCTCTATCCATTTCCAAGTTTATTCGTTGAAAATGGAGGTACCTTTTCATGTTTCGCCCTAAAATGCATGCTTGAATGATTCGCCAAAACATGGACACCATGCAAAAACAATGGACGCATCTAAAATTGTCCGTAAGAACATTAAATATGGGCTAACTTGTCAAATTTTCCCATACACATCAAAGTGTTTTTGGTGGATATGCGTTGAATCATCGTTATAGTAAAAGCTTAAAACATAATCCTAAGATCAACACGAGCATTGAGTAATGCATCACACATTTTCAATGTGTGATGCATAGCCGCTGCAAGTGAATTAAATGAGACGTAAAAATAATCAATTATTTTGGATTGAATTGGGCTTTTGTTCCGTGTCGAAGTCGGCCCCTTATAAGCTTTCCCGAAATGATTCGGTCCAAAATAGCTGAAACAAATGGTAAAATCAAGATGTTTGAATACTCACAGTTCGAACACATCTCCATGGGTAATGACGTTTCGTTACCCTGTAAATTGAAAAGAAAAAGGAAACAAATTACATTCGAGTGAAAATTTTTCGATTCGATTCATTTTGTTTTGCAATCAGGTTGTAAATCGCGTCTATGTACGCAACACCGTACACGAAGGAAGAATATGGATAAAACGATGTGTTTTCGTGCTAATATTTTTTCTTCTTCTGCGACTTTGCCAAAAATCACATGACGAACGGAAGAATTTCAAACGCCGCATTTTTCTACAACAACCTTTTCCACTTTTTTTCTCACTTCTCATGCGATTTTTCTCGTAGCGTGTTGTTCTCGCTTCCTCTCTCTCTCTCTCTCTCTCTCTCTCTCTCTCTCTCTCT